AGAATGGGCAGTTATTATGAAAGAGGACCGGAGAGTCCAGAATTAAGGTCTGGAAGAATTTCTGTTTAAGAGCTGCCTGTGCATAGATGGGGCATAGACAGATTGACTAGCAGATTCATCCGGACTCGAGGTAGTATTAGTCATGCAAACTTGGCTTTGTTTGGTTACAGGTTTCTAGATAAAGCATCCACATTAAAGGAACCTGTCAGTAAACTTTCCCCACTATTAGTCCTTATTAATAATCTCTATGGACACACAGAAGATTCCTTCTTGAATCTTGAAGATCCCTGGAACAGTTACAGGGATAGTGACTTGTGGAGTTGATGAGTGTGATGCAAATAGATATCTCTGTACCCATTTTACAGATGTGGAAGCACAGACGGGAGAAACAGTGTGTCCAAGGTCCCACAATAAGTCCCATAAGTTATAAGAATCAGAGTGTCTGTACAAGATTCGCTCCTGAATGGAAACTATCGCTAACGTGGCACCTTAATAGTTATAAAGACAGTGATTCACATCAGACGTACTCAGTTCACCCAAGAAAATAGCTCAGAGAAGTGGTAGAATAGCCCTGAGTTGAAAGAGCGTTTATACAGCTTCTAAGATCTCCTGGAAGATCTGAGAGACCCTTTGTTCATGAGGTCTTTATTAGTTGGAAATTAATGTTGTTGCATACAAGACTCTTTCAATTGAGATAATTGTTTTCCTTAGTGTTTGTGATTTCTAGTCTGGTGTCAACCTCAGAGAGTAGTTGTGACAAATATTGCAATTGTATGCAATAACTCTGTGGGACTGTATTGTACTAAATGTATATATCACTGTGGGTCAGAGATTGTATGTATGATTGTGTTGTATTCCAGCGGGAAGGGTATCACTGCTTCCCTAGAAACTAAAACAGTGGAGGGGTGATTAAGGTAAATTACAAATGATTGTAAACACCACCGCAGAGGTACCACCTCTCTCTAGACACGCTCGCATAGAGTAATTCATGCTGGATTTTCCAAACACCAATATGTTAGTGTGTCTGAGCCACAAACATACAGGCCCTTCTGGCAAAGTAGGTCCCCAATCCTTGCCGAAGAGCAGGAAAGACTTTGGCCTACTAGGGCTGCATGAGGCTGATGGTGACCTCTGGTAAGATTTTAGCATGCTGATAGGAACTTTGATTGTTTTTCATAGGCTTTCTCTGTAATGCCTTCACCTTGAGAGTAGAGGTGCTTGCACCAAAAGAGCTGTGTGGTAACTTGTAACTGATGGCTGTCCACTGCTCATAGACCTCAGAGAGAAAAGAGAGCGCAGGGGCTACATGAAACTGTAAGAGTACGATATGCACATTACACCCTGCAGGTGTCTTTCACAGTAAAAGTTTTAAGGGCAAACTCCATTCCTGACTTCCCTGGAGTTACTGATATCCAGAGTTGTATCTGTGCATCAGTATCATATACAGCAATCCAGTCAGGTCCTTTAGATCCAGTCTGGTCCTTAAAATCCAGGCTATGAGAGGTCAATCTGAGAGTAAACCCAAGAAAAAGTCGGGTGGGAAATAAGGAGACTAAATACTGAGGTGTATTTGTGTTGTTGACAGATTGTGAAGTTCTATTTTGGCTCCAGATGACGAAGGAGTCAAATGCCTGTCTTACCCAGTGGTACTTGGCATTTCATTTCTTTTGGTTCTGGGTAGGACACAGTCCCAAAAAGGGCCGTGAGAAGGTGGACTTCTTCTCATGAAGAGATGAGATCTGGATATTCGGTGAGTGCACCAACAGGTCCACTCACGGCAGGGAGGTATGTGAAGCAGCGTTCTCCCCTTTTACCAGTCAGCCTGGAGCCCACAAACAGAACAGACTGTGGCAAATAAGGAGACTCCCTGCTCTGCCCTAGTGACTATTTCATCCGGAAGAGGATTCTGGATAGGGGAGGGGACACTAGGAGCTGACCAGCCTGTAAGAGGCTGTGATCTCCCAGCTCTGGAAGTTTACCCTGAGCAGACACAAGAGACTTTGTTTGGACTCTAGTTAGTGGGATCTGAACATGGATCTGGAGATAAGAGCATTTAGTTTGTTATTACATGTCCCAGGGCTTCATTAAGGGAGACACTTCTTTGGACTAGTTTGTTTTGTCTTTTCATTTCCCTGATCTGTGCAAGTGCATGGTTTGACACGAGTAACGGGAGGGAAGGTGGCTCACCCAGAGTGCCACATCTGCCCAAAATGGGGCACTTAGGTTGGCCTTTCCCTTTACACAGGACCAAGGCCCAGTGATGCTCAAAATTTCTGAAATTTCAACGTAAAAGGCATTTCATTAAACACCCTTGGGAGGAAGGGAATAGGAGGGATGGTTTCAATACTGGCATTGTCCATCTTGAGCATACCAAGCACCTGTTGTTAGACATGAACCGGGACTGGAAAGGTCTAGAAGCTCTGAATCAAAAGGAATACCCGACACCTAGTCGGTACAGAGCGGGGACCTAGAGGGCTAATACCTCGCTTATGATATACAGACTTTTGCCAGACCTGATTCGCTGCACAATACAGGGCTCGAGTGGGACGTAAATAATGCCCAGGAACTGGTTCCCTGCACAGCAGTGAGTTGTTACCCACAGAGCCAGATTCACGAAGGTATTTAGGTTCATGGCTCAGACTGATTTCAATGGGAGTTAGGCACCTAAGTAGCTTGTTTGACTCTGGGCCGTCGTGGCTAGTAAATAGGGAATGGAGCCGAAAGGAAAACAAAAAGCTTGCTATTATGAGACAGAATCAGTTTAATGTGAAAATGATGAGAAGTACACAGGAGGAGATGGGAAGTAGCAGAGTAAAAAGAAAATATTTCCCGGGTTTCAAGAAAGTCGTTAACAAATCACCCGTTAGAAGGTGACGCATTTCACACCAGAAGTTGTGGTAGACAATAGAGGAAAAAGTCATAAAGTGTAACTTGGGCAATAAAGATACTGGGCAGATTTACGGAGGCGCTGAGGACTCACAGCTCCCATGGGAGTTGTGCGCCATCAGCATTTCCGAAAGCCATTGCCCGTGAGCCCAGCTGTGATTCCGTAT